AAAAAAAAAAAAAAAAAAAAAAGAAACGAAAAACGGGCAATGGTAAAAAGTTACTTCTCCCTGAAGTCAAAGTGCATCTTTGCGTATCGACTTCAATACAGTTAACTATATTTACAATGTATCACGGTAGAAGATGTATCGAGACGTGGTGGTTTCTAAGTGTAAAGTTAAGATAAAAAACACACGAGTGACAAGTGGAAACGTAACAACACTTGGTTAGAATTAGAGAGGAAGGATAATAGAAGAGATGGGTCAAAAGAAGTGAAATGAAGGAATTGTATTGTTGCTGATTATACAAAAAAAAAAAAAAAAAAAAAAAAGATAAAAAAGATTTTCAAGATAATTTATCGTAATTGGCCATTGGAAAGAGGATGAAAATGGGAAAAAAAATATATTTGAACGTCACTTCGCTTCTTTACACGACCCGATTAGAGAACATTAAAGATCAAAAAAGGAAAAAAAACAGTTGATTAGCATGAGAGAAAACGGCTTGCATGCAATAAAATGTTATTCATTCGCGACGAGAAAGAAAAAGACAAGAGCAGGAAAATAACGATATGCGCAGTGCCCTCACGACGCATATTTTCTTCTTTTTTTTTATTCCCAAATGTAGAAAAAGCTAAATAAGAACAACTCGTAGACGAGGTTCCCCGATTTACATATTTAGATCGATCAATACAGGAAAGGATTTTTTCGTACTTTCCAACTTTTTTTTCATTCCACTATCCCCCTATATTTTAATTAACGCAACCAGATGACAGGTTTCAGAGTTTAAAATTCGCGAGAGGAAAGATTAAAAATATTAAAAAATATATATATATAACATAATCGATATATATATAATAGAATGCATAATTATTAAAATATTCCAATATTTTTTCACGTCGAGAATTTTTATTAATAGCGAATTTATACATTAACACTGAAACCTGGCTCATCGGTTACCCAGCCCAACGATATTCATTTAATATAATCCCACTCGGGAAGATTGGTATGAGTGAATTCAAATCTATCGATATGCCCATATACTAACAAGCCTAACTTTACTCTCGCGTTTCTAACAGACCTTGTTTATTACTAACCTGTTTGGCCTTGTGCTTGTTTAATTTCTCGTACTTGTCTTCCCAGCAGCCACGAAATACCCTCATCTGGTGATTTCTTTCAGATCTAAAAGCGAAACTACTACCGAAACCAGCGAAACCGTTCACGAGGAGGCCGAGCCTGAGAAATAATAAAATAAAATCTGCCTAAAAAAAAAAAAAAAATAATAATAAAAAATAAAATAAATAAAAATAAATAAAAAAAAAAAATGAAACCTAAGAAAAAAAAATCGCGTGACAAGATCGCATCCGATTAACACTTCGAAAAATAAAGATGAATGTGCAAAAAAAAGAAAGGGGGAAAAAAAAAGAGAGAGAATTCGTTTTTGAATTGATTTTT